ATGGAAATGGAATTTTTTTTTCTTTGCCCACAGAGATTTTCTTTGAGTGTAAATTACTAGCAATTTCGCCCAGTCAAGGTTAACAAGTATTCTTCATGGAGTGAGTTGCTTTGGACGCTCATTCTGTTATTCATATCACAAACGTCATGGGACCTGACTCCTCTACGCCAGCCATTTATTTTTCACGCATGTGTGAAAATGAGCAAAGTTTTCCGTCGCAGTTGGGACCCCGGCGGTGATGCCGGCAGCCGCGCTGGGTACGGAACACGGCTTACCTTCATTTTGACATGAACGTCCATGGCAGGACCATGATTGCTGTTGGCCATTGTAGTTTTGCATTAATTAACTTAGTTCACCTTTGTGTTAGCCCTGGCCCAGCTTTGGAATGCAGGGGTGTGCATGAGTGCACCCTTGGCACTCGCTGAATGTGGGTGTGAATGTATATAGGTTGAATGTGCCATCCTGACAGAGTTGTTGGCATGAGAGTGGCATGGCGTAGTTTGATTATTTTCTATTGTAGATGGTCGTTATATGATGTACATGGATTGGCGGATCCCTGATGTTGTAGGCAGCCCAGTTAATCTGTGAAGCCTGGAGAGAGTCTTTAGCTGCCGGGAATCCCATTGGCAGAGTGAAGCCTCGCTGTTCCCCAACCTGTGTAGATGAAACTACAGGGGGCTCTCCACAGTGTCGTCCTGCTCTTGTGATCCAACTAGCCTTGGCGATCTGGACGATGGGTGTGGAACTACCGTAACTGTGAGGAGCACCACTACAAATCTCCCCCAAATAATTTCTTATTGTTGTATAACATTCTGATGATTTTATGATTTCCTTTGTGGTTGGCCTTATCTTGTGAATATAATTGAAAGTTCAAGATATTTGATTTATTTGGTTTGTTGCACCTGTTTAAAAGTCATACGTCATGGGAAATTTACTGATTTTTGCTGTATAAGTGTCACCCTTGTGGTAAACTACTTGTGGTATTGTGATATTTTTGGTTATATACGTGTAAATTGTTTGACTTATTTGACTTGTCTGGATATTAAGTAAGGAATTGCAGTTTGAAGTAAACCTGGCTAATGTACTATATATCCTCCGCAGTGCGGATGGATTGTATGGTTAGGCGTTTTAACATTGAACCTTGAGAATTGACCGGCAATTAAGGATTCTAGAACTATTTTATACGACAAAAAGTTGTACAAGAAACTGACAGTTTTATAACGTGAATTGATGATTGAGCACTGAAAATATTGAGTAATTTGTATAAAGGAATTTGACCTTGTAAAATGAGAATTGGTCAGGAAATTTAATTGTAAGATAAATCTAGCCTGATTGATGAATTCGCCGTTTTATGGTCATGGGCCAAGTTCTGCATTGAGGGACATTTTGACTATCTGCTATTTATCTAGGATCCTTCAAACTGAGGAGATTTCCCCTGCAATTTCAAGTTGTCCATAATTATTGTTTTGAATAAATTTAGATGTAAATATTGTAAATATTAAAAT